AAAAAAAAAAAACGTTGAAAAAAAAGAAAAAAAAAAATTTAAAAAAAACACATTTTAAAAAATGAAAAAAACAGATAAATCTCAACATTAGGTTGAGTGAACGAAGTCAGACATAAGACTTTGCAATGTATGATTCCATTTACATAAAGTTCAAAACTAATCTATGATTGTAGAAATCAAAACAGGGGTTACCTACAGGGGGTGGAGAATGACCAGAAGCAGGCACATAAGATATCTTTCTGGGATGATGGAAATATTCTATATCTTGACTGGAGTAGTAGTTGCAAAGGTATAAAAATTTACCAAAATCATCAAATTGTACTCTTAAGGTCTATGCATTTCACTGAATATAAATTTTACATCCATAAAAAAAGTGGGAGAAAAAAAGAAAAAGAAAAGAATAAAAGAAAGAAAGAAATGAACATATGTAGGAGTAACTATGAGAAAAAATGGGTAACTAAGTGGAATAAATGTACAAAGGAAACACCAGAGCTGGGACTTTGGGAGATACGACAGAATTCACCAAGCAGAAATAGGCAGAATGAAGCAGAAAGACTTTGACAAGTGACTCAGAGACATTAAAAAAAAAAAAAAAAAAATCATATATTCAGAGAAGGGGAAAAATTATTCCACAGGCAGAATGGAATCAAATAATCTGATTTTTAAAAAATACTTCTTAAAAATTTACTTTTTTGAAGACTAATACTGTGCATGAAGAATAAATTGTAAGAGAGACAGACTGATGATAGAGAAACTATTAAGGACATTATTTGTATTATTATATTAACATTAGACAGAGGAAATCTAAGGCAAAAAACATTAGTAGAGTATGAGAATCATTACAAAATGGTAATAAGAACAATTCCCAGGAAGATGCAATAATCCTAAACTTAGATATTTCTAATAAAACTTTTTTTTCACTGAGCAGGCAGTATCTTGGCCTTTCGTTCAGAAATTTCTACTTCAATAAATATGACACTGAAGTTAAAGTAGCCACAAGACTGATAACTTTACTGGTTTCATTATCTGGAGGCAAAGTTCAACGGCAGCCAGTTTCAGGTAAGGCACCCCAAAACATACGGGCAAGGAAGG